CACACACGCACACATACACCTGCGTACTGATACACTTGCATGTCCTCACGAATTCGCACTAACTCTCACACAAACACACACACACACACACACACACACACACACACACACACACACACACACTCATACGTGCTCGAGCCCACATCTCTTTCTAAGACATAACATTTATGCTGCTGCAGGTTATTGTGTAGTCTGTTTCGTATACTTCTATTCATTATCATTATAATCCGAATATGACAAAATATGGCTGCTATCGCGCTGACTCGTCTCAAACTCCAACAGAACAAACAACTTGTCAATGGGGCCACTTGACAATATTTATTCACTTAATTCAGGGCTGAAAACCATACAGTCATGTTTCATCCTTTACTTCTGCCCCAGCCCAACGACGGCTGTCCGCTTTTTAAGACTTTCCTTTATAATCACCGAGTCTCTCAAGATAGTTTTGTTTTAGTAGAGGTTTTACGGCGCTCGCAGCTGCATAAGGTCATATGAGCGCTGATGGGTGGATGTCAACATAGAAGTCCTTACAGAGAATCAAACTTACTCTGCTCACCTCTCTAGCTTCAACAGCACAAAGTCTGTTTCAACTATCAAGGCACCCCGGAAATAGCGGGTCACAAGAGTGTGACAAGCATACAAAAGAAGAAGAGAAAAATGACGACAGTAAGGATTAGGAAAGAAAAAGCAGCAGTTCCCTGTTGCAGTTCAGGCACAGTTATGAGCATGACATTGATGAATCAGCCCATTTACAATTACAATTCTACAATGCATAAGAGCTCGAGATGTTAATGTCCCTCCCTTTGAGAATAACCTAAAGGTACTTCAGTCAGTTACACCGCCCCGGGGGGTTCCTCAAGCTAGATAAGTAAAAGCTACAAACTCAAAAGTGTAAGCTACCCTTTTCAGATGCATGGCCTGTTCTCGTTTTCTTGTTTTCTGCTCTTTCTCGTTCTTTTCAGCGATGAAAACCCGTTTCTGGTTAAAATGTATAATTAGCATGCCGATCGACTACGTTCCCCGTTAATTGCAAGATCTGAAATATAAGAATTTGAATCGATGTGTAGGCCTACAGTCAGCTCAAGTATCGAGTTTCGAATACGTGTTCGACAAAATGTCTGGGGGCTCTCGTGGCCTAGAGGTTAAGGTGTTGGCCTCTCATTCAAAACGTCCTGGGTTCGAATCCGGGTAGCGACCGAAAAAATCTCTTCTCTAAATTTGTCTCCTTTCACCTCATTTCCTGCTCTCTAGCAATGTTTTGTCGTCTGCTTTCGTCTCCACTTTCTGCCCACAGCCCCTTTCCCCTCACCTCCTTTGCCCCTTCCTCTGGGCTCCTGATTCTTTCGGCAGCCTTTCTACTGCTACTCCTTCGCTTTTTCTTACTGCTGTCTTTCAGCCACACCCTTGATCTTCTGGTAGGAAAGATCTACACCTAGCCTTCTCGGACAAGGGCGAAAAATCTCG